TCACCCACCCTCTCCAACCAATTCACAAAAAAAGTTTCCTTTTAGCATCCAATTAGGCTTTGCATCCATTCAAACCTTTGACAGGGCAACATGTCCATCATATGTCAAAGGATTGTAATACAACAAATTCCTAATACAAAACAGGCTTTGCGTGAGAAGGATAAATGGAATTTAGCATTGAACAATCTTATGACATATTCAAAAGACAACTGGGGTCATGTCATGTTAAAACAATTGATCGAGGAAGTATGATGTTTTGCATTTCAGTTGCAAATGTCATTCAGAAACTTTCATTTGGAAAAGGATTGGGTTTTTGCAGACCCCAGAAGCTGTCAATGTTGCCCAACATCTTTCTCTCCATACACACCAGAACACCACCACAGAACACCACCACAGAACACCTGTTGTGTACCTCTGCTAAAGTCATTCTCAAAGTGCTGATGGGTGAGAGGTCTATGTCCACAAGCTGTACTGTATTAAAACTCTGAGTGACAAAAACATTAATGACAAAACACACAAGTTAGATTAGACATGCAAAGCGGTTAGAAAATACACAAATATTTACAGTAATGTTCATCATATATTATCAAGGTTTTTTTTCTGCATTTCTTTATCAGCACTCATGCAAATTCAGCCAAAAGACAGGAAAAATACATCGGCATATCCTGATATCAATACAAGTGTTAAAAAGCACAAGTGACACTAATTAAGGATAAAACTGCATTAAGCATGACACATGAAACACTTGTCTTAAGAACAACTATGAAACATGAGCATATTGCAACTTTTACACAGCAGTCTTCAGAAAAGCATTGACAAAACATTAATGACAAAATAGACAAGTTAGATTTGACATGCAAAGTGATTAGAACATACACAACATCTATAGTAATATGTACTGTATATTGTTTATGTAAAGGCATAATTTCACCCTTCAAACCTCCAAAGGTCCACAAAAACTATGGTTTCTATGGACTGACCATTATTTGTTGTAAGATTTGTGTGAAACATACCATTATTACAATGATACAATTACTTAGAATATTGGAATAACTTTTGTGATTATGGACCTGAATCAAACAAAATTTTAAAAGATGAAAATGTTAGCTAATGCTCAGCTGAACGCACTATATGTTCTTCCCTATTCTCTCTCAGTCCCTTTTCTTTTAACTTCACTATTATTAGTTTCTACCATTCCATTTCTTTTGAAAACACCCTCTAATTTTAAAATATCTTTGACTTACCTTTCTCTTTGCTCTCTGCTCCTAAAGATACATTGGAAGTGAACGCACCTATTTTAATGACTGGTTTTGTGGATGGGTGAAAACGCAGGTTTACTGGCCAGTATTAACCCAGTTGAATAAAGATTGACATAGGTGCATCACACAGACAACTTAGTCAAGTTGTGAAGTAAAAAAAAACACAAAACCTGAAACTGGAGCTGCAAATGAGTAAACCCCGCTGTGGCGAGAGAAATAGATAAATTTGCACATTCTAAGGGTTAAATCATTTGGGATGTATTTCTGTTTTTTTGCATTGAGGATCCCAGGGCAAAGCCAAACCTCAGAGTACAGTGCAGCAAGGATCAAAGAGTAGCCAAACAAAATAGGTCAAATGTTTAGGCAATATTGAGCTTAGATTTGAACACATGAATGGGATCAAAGTTTACACATTCCGCCAATGTACTTTGAGAGGATTTATGAATTGTACACTGAGGCTATGTAATCTCATTAGGAAGAGCAGATAGCTGAATGGAAGACGTAACTGTAGTTCAGACATGCAAAGCCCAGCGTATTGCTAATTTGATGGAACAAAATAAAAACAATCCTTGCATTTGACAAAGAGCTTTTAACATCAGCATGCACCATCAACTTTAATGCAAATTTCAGAGGAAAGGAGATAAACATGCACGTAAGGTTAGTGCAAGGTCATAATGTTATAATTTCTAGAAATTCAGATGAGAAATTAACTAGCAAAATGTTCAATAGAATTCCCATAGTTGATTGGGGTAAGAAGATCAGCAGTCAAATAGCAATGCAGAAAATCACAGTGGCCATTTGTAGATTAGGGTTAAACTTTCAAGGTGTGGATTAGTTGAGAGTAAACACGTGCAATAACTTTGCAAAGTACAAATGTAAGATGAATAATAAAGCATAACCAAGGGTAGAAGCTTCTTTTTCTTTGAAGATTTCTAAGTAGAAGTTAATAAGGTAGGAGAGACTGAAGGGTAGAAACAAGTTTAGAGACACATCTCTTAAGCGTAAGGGAAACCACCAGGGTTGGAGCCTCAAGTCCATGGAGTAGAAAATCTGACAGACATCAGAAAAGAGGTGTGGATGAAGTAAGAAGAGATAAAACATGATGTGGGACAGATTGGCATAACAGAGTATAGCACATGTACAAGGTAGGAAGATTAGCGATCAGAAGCAGAGTTAAAATTAGGAAAAATATTTAGCATTAAAGTAGAACTAGATGACTACACTTATTACCACACATAATTTTTATCCTGTTTGACAGCATCATTTTGTTAAATGTTTCATAGGATTATTCTCATTGGAGCAGAGAAGGTTTTGAGGAGACCCAATAGAGGTCTTCAAAATCATGAGGGGATTTGATAGGTTAGAAAGTGAAAAACTGTTCCCACTGGTGGGTGTGTCGGTGACTCGAGGTCGCAGATTCAAAATAGTCTCTAAAAGAAGCCGAGGGGAGGTGAGAAGAAATTTTTTCACGCAGTGAGTTGTTCTAATCTGGAACGCATTGCCTGAAAGGGTGGTCGAGGCCGATTCGATAACTACTTTTAAAAATGCAATGGACGGGTATTTGAGGAGGACGGGTTTGCAGGGTTATGGGGAAAGGGCTGCGGAGTGGGATTGACATTACATTGCTCTTTTCAAAGAGCTGGCACAGACTCGATGGGCCGAATGGCCTCTTTTTGTGCTGTACAATTCTATGATTCTAAGTAGTTTGTTAGAAAGAGTCAACAAATAGCAGTATATTCATATATATCAAGAATCAGAACAGATTTGAAACTGAAAAGTTATAATGGCCACTTTCCTGGAGGGCAGATCTATGAAAAAGATGATAAGCAGTGCGGTTCAGTAATATTTTAGTTGGAATATCAATGACATTGATCTGTACTGTGGAAACAGTTTTTGACACTCTACCAGTATTTCAGCAGTAGTTTATTTATATCCTGTATGTATCAAAGAACTTGTTCCATAGTGGTAGAGGCCAAGCAGTGGAGAAAAGATGACACCAATGTACACTAAACAGTCTGGAGTACATGTCATTCAGGTCTGAGAGCTACTTAGGCTACAAAAAAGTAAAACTGTGATAAGTGAAGAAGCCTCACTTGTATCACATATAGGCTTGATTATTCTAACAGCTCCAGCTCCTCCCTACATACCCTCACACCCTCCAGATCTCTGCAGCCTGTGTCCTCTTTTGCTCCAGCCTCAGCAAGCCCATCATCCTCATAGCCACCCAACTCCAATGGTTCCCCATTCCCCCAGTATATCAAATTCAAAATCCTTGTCTTTATCTTAAAATCCTTTCAAGGCCTTGTCCCACCCAACCTATCCAAGCTTGTCCAAGCAGGCCCCTGCTGCTCCCTCCACTCAGCAAATACTAGCCTACTTCATGTCCCCCGCCTAATCTGACCCACCAACAATTGCTGATCTTTCAGTCATTCTGTCTCTGGAACATTCACTTTGGAAGCATATTATTACAAACTTATTTGCAGGGCCAATCAAGTTCAGGTTATTTTAATTTTGGAGTACACCTTAGTACGATCATGCTTGAAATACTGTGTATAATTTTAGCCATTCTAGTTGTGAAAGGGGATTGATGTGTGGAGAGAGAATAAACTGTGATGGTGTTAGCACTTAAAGTTCTTATGCTGTAGAGAACCATTCAACTAAGCTGCTTATCATTCGAGAAGAATGGATTCAGTGAGGCATGAATAATACAGACCTAAGGTGGTAAGCGATATTGAAAGAGATGATAGTAGTAAATAGTGAACACACTCACTCCATTCAAAGTAAAGGGAAATTGTTCCACGCATACGTGGAACTCAGTCTTGTTAGGATACTCTTAAGCACAACAATGAATTTCCAAAATGCAGAACACTGCAGATGCTGGAAATCTGAAACAAAAACAGAAGGCACTGGGAACACTCAGCAGGTCAGGCAGCATCTATGGAGAAAGGAAAGTGAGTCAAAGTTTCGGGTCCACGACCCTTCATCAGAACATAAAGGAATTTCCATGTGTGTCAAAACATTCTGCTGACCCCCCCAACCCCCTGTAACTTCTTCTTTCTCCTGCACAGGAAGTATTGCTCTTCAAGTAGATTGAGAAGGTGGAGGTGGGGGCATTTTTTCACAAATTAAGATTTTAGATGTGGGTCAATAGACATTAAACAGAATGAAGGACTAGAAGGAGAAAACATAGTTATTAATAACATGTCTGTAATAGCTATAGAGCACTGTATCCAGAACATAGTGTTAGGGAACTTCAAATCTGTGCTGCAATGATGAAAATTATACAGCAGTACCAGTCACATGATCAAATCAAATATGTTCAAAAATGAACCTATTTTCCCTCTAAATCATTAATTTTGTCAATGCTACTGGTAAATCAACATCATTTACACTTAATTATGTTCTATTTCCCCAAGGTTTTTAAAATTAAATTACTCCAGGGCTGTGTTGATTTTAAGTTGATTTTACTTCCCTCAAACTCTCAAGAGCCAATTTTATATATAAAAAAATTATAACTGGTTTCATCTAATGGATTCTTGTCAGCAGGCGAAACTGACTTGCTTCATGGATCTCTGATCATCATCATCATATATGCACATCAAAGCCACAAAACTGAACTCTTTTCAATGTAAACATTTAGCTTGCTTAGAGAAATGTTAACATCATCTTCCCTCCATAAACTGGTCATTTAGGAGAGGGCAAAGAGCACAAAAGACACTTGTGAATAAAGTTGTTTCTTACCATATCATTGTCACTGGGCTGAAATTGGAACGACTGCAATTTTTGGAACACAGGATTCTCTTGGAGAAAAAGCTGCAGATTGTAATCCCGCAACCCCTGAGAATATTAACGTCACATGGTAGCCATATTAAGAAATTATCAACACAGTTTAGTCATCAAGGAATAATGAATATTTTAAGGGATACACATAAGCAACTCCTACCCCGATACAATCTTAAAATTAATTATAATAATCCTTGCAGTTGATATAGAGCCTTATCACGTCTTCAAGACTTCTCAAAGCGCTTCGTAGAATATACTGTAAGGTGAATTGATTGTATATTTTGTATACAATTGCACAGCAGTATCCCACAAATAATTAGGGATTGAGTAACCAAGATACAATTATTATTATATCTATTATTATAATTATTATATCTTGATTTCATTACATATTGTTCAGTAATCTTTTGAAAAAGACCCCAATCATACGCTCAAGGGAAATTATTGGAAATATATCATTTCAATTTTGCACATTTTACAAACTTGAATGTAACAAACAATGAAATCCTAGCATCCAACATTAAGATTTAATGCCATATTAACATCCTTAATTTTATAAGTGTAAGGAATTGAAAGTGTTTAGGTGTATGCAGGGTAAAACAAATTTAGGGTTTAGACAAATTGCGTTATTGGTTTGGATAAAAGACTGGACTGAAATAAATACTTTAGCCTGAAAGTGACAACTTGCAGTCTAGCAATCCAGCATAATCAAGAGAGCTACAATGCCAGCAGTTCAATTAGATCACGTGGCAGTTATGAGCTTACTTTTGCCTTGAAAGTGTTAATGTAAGCATCTGTTAAAATTGTATCCTGTGGTGAGCAACAGTTCAATATGGAGTGCGGGAATTTTACAGGGGATGAATTTGGAAAGTGTAGCCATAAGGTCACTTATTGTGACCAATAGATATTACTAAAGACAAAATTAGAGAATAAAACTATTAATTAAAAATATATTCACTTTAAACACTTAACAGATGCCATATATATAAGAGCATTATATTATTCCTTGGTGCGCTCCTCCATCCTATGCTAAAGCACCTTATTTTTTTTAAAATTTCTGAATTATATTCACCATTAATAACAACTTGTTTTCACTTCTAATTTTCTTTGATCTCCTTATATTGTATATTGATCTCTTCAACAATAACAACTTGCATTTATATAGCGCCCCTTACGCAGGATAGCGTCCCAGAGCACTTATCCCAAATCTCCAATTGAGAGAATTGCTAGACAATCTGCTAATCCTATGGTTTAATTGGCTCCTATGAGTTACTTGGAAGGATCACAAGGGAAACTGGGTTCTATCATTCAGTGGTGCAGACCCTACATTCTCCCACTTGCTATTTGGCGGGCAGGTCTTCAGCCTCTCTGCCCCCACTCTCTGGAAGTCCATCCCACAGTCCCTCTGCCTAGCCCCCACCCTTGCCTCTTCAAGACCCCTCTCAAGACCCTCCTCTTCGGTCAACCTCTTAGCCCTACACTCTCTGCCCTCCACCCCTCCTGATCTCAAACACTAGCTCAGGGATGGATCCTTGACTGTCCAGCGCCTTGGGAAGTCGTCCTAACGTGAAAGGCTCTATACAAATAAAATGTGTTGTTGTTACTCTTCAGAAGTAATTTGCTACCTACAGATCTTGCTATCTGTTCACCTACAGATAGTCACTACACTTCACAATAAAACCCATAAGGCGTTTTGAAACATATTGACAACATGATAAGTTGCAATTACAAGGATTATCATTATTCTATTATTAATTATAAAATTGCATTAGTTTCCCTCCTCCTCTGCTGAGTAGAGCCTTTGTTGGAGGACAGTTCCACAGGCACCAGTAACCTTTGGACCAAAGAGCTCATTGTTCGGGTGTAGAGTTCAACAATGAATGTTAGCAGGCTAGTCATCGGGGTGAGGGGTGGGGGGAAGGAGAGAAAGGAAGAGAAGCATTATAACTGAACCTTATTCTGCCTTCATAATAATAAACAGGAGAGCATGATAATGACAGTGATTGCCTGCATTCAAATGGTTTTGGCAACTTGCGGCGAATCAAAGAGGTGCAGATGAAAGTTAACGATATCAAGAGTGGTAAAAGTGAACTGTTTATTTTTTTATTGAGCCATGAATGAACCTTTTTCTGAAGAGTAATTGGTTGCAACCCATACACAAGATTCTGGTAAATGTCGGATAGTAATAAATAGATGAAATATATGCTACAGGTGTAACCACAGACGGACTACAATGATTCAGTGAAATACAGTTAATGCAACATTTCATTGGCCATGGTTTGCTCCCATTTCCTGTTGATAGTAAAAGTTGTATAGAAGCTGTCAAAGAATGCTAGAGGAAGTAGATCACAGGAGGCAATGCTAGAGATGGTAGAGTTGGGGAAAGGAGAGCTTTGAAGAGACTGAAAATTCTCAAATTGGAAGTGTGCAAGACAAATCCATCATGTACCAAACGCATGCAATTACTTCAGCATCATATAGAATTTTGGTCTGTAAAATTAAACCACACGTGCTGAACAAGTTGTTTTATATCTCATCTGCCGGTCAGTTCTTCTGTGTTGTCAGGTCACTGATGATGTCGCTGTGGACTTTGCTGAGCTGCGTTCACAGAAAGTCGGCTGCTCAGCGGCTACTGCATTCGAGAGCGTTTCCAGTGGTTGCGAGGATGTTACTGATGTCACTGAACCTGGCCAGGCAGCTCTGAAAACATGGTGCTCTCATATAGCATTATGAAGTGCTGGATACCATTATGAAGTGTGAATTCATGACATGATTATTCATTCGTGGGTAAGTACACCTGCCTCGCAAATTAGAGGGCACGGGCTCGATTCCCAGGCAGGGCAAAACGTTAGCTAAGTTTCCTTACTCCACATGCCTCTGTTTTCCTAGCAGCAAATTTGAACCCAGCTGTTCGTCAATTGGCGGATCGCTTTCCGGGGTAATAATCCCCGAAAAAAAAATTGGTCGCTCAATCTACGACTGTTTGTGGGACAATGCTGTGCTTAATTGGCAGCCGCGTTTCACTCACAAATACCAAACCACTTTACAGTATATTCTGTGAAACACTTTGAGACGTCTCAAAGACGTGATAAGGTGTTATATCAAATGCAAGGATTACTATTATTACTGCATATAGATCAAGATTTCTTTCCTGTGATATGGCAACTAGAATTTTTTACAATATCTCAGGTAGGTCAAACCAGTTGCACAGGCTGTTATTACTACATGTGATTTATGCTCTATTCCCTTCAGACATAGATTGAGGAGCTCATTAGTTTTGTTCACAGCCACCATACGCTGCGCTGATGGTTTGAGCGATCAATCCACTATTCAAGCCTATCCAAGTCTGTCTCGTGTCAGGTCCTTTAAAATAATACTGTTCAAGTTATATTCCCATTGTTCATTCTCCTACCCTATTCTCCATTTGTTTTATTTATTCACATTAAATGACATTTGCTACTTGGCAATGTCTTTTGGCAGCCTCGACTCTTAAATAAGTCCAGCTATCACTTTGTGTTTGGTTAGCCAATTCCTTATCATTTGCAACTCCCCTGTCCTCACTTCCAAATCATTCACATGTATGTACTATAATGAACATCATTCCAAGCAATACTCCCTATGGCACAATGCTAATTACTTCCTTCCATGTTGATGCAACTCCATGTAAAACTCCCCTTGTTTTTTACATCTTCAAGTAGTTTAGCAGCAAAACTTTCAGTTATTACACGGCAGCCTGGGAGAAGCTCATGGGTCAAAAGAGGAAAACACAAGTAGTGCAAGTGTTGCAATTTAGCACATGTAAGGCCTTGCGAAATCAAACTCCATTTAAAAAAAGGCACTGTTATCCTTGATTGTGTTTGCTGATATGGATTATTAAAAAAAATGAATCGAGATGCTTTTCAACAGCATGTTTGTGAGCTGTTGCACACAGAACATTGCTTCACCCCAGGTAAACCACCAACTGTTGTCTGAAATGTATCATTTGCATAATTAAGCCAGATTGTCGCTTCTGAGTGCTGCAGATAGAGCTGTAGTAGTGCAGATGAACCATGAATGTCATTTGCAATCAGGTGGGAACATTTCCTGCACAGCATTCTCTAAGTGTTGGCCTGGATTCACTTCGTTTCTCAGTCAATTGTAGGAAGCTAACACTTGTCCAGCAAATTTGGCATCTAGAGCAATGCCTTATTTCCTCGTATCACACTGTGATAGTGTCTGTCCTGTGCTTAAAAATGACCTGACACTGAACCCTGCCTCCTCATTCTCTTCCTTTTCCAAGATAATTGGCCGTTTTGGCACAGCAGATGCTTGTGTGCCGATAACTTCCTTAAGGTGGCCTGTTATGCTTTCAATGTTAAATTCTAATCCTGCAGGACTATTGTGAGTCTGATTTTGCCACATTTAAATGTGGACTCCTGCAACATTAGATTAAGTAGGATTGAACAGGATAACATTATTAGGGTACTGTGGGATTAGAATTCAGATTAGATCAATTAGGCCGCAGGAGTGCTAATTTTATCACATCCTTTCGATAAGATTTCAGAAATGAGCATCATTTATAAAAGAGGTGCTACTCTTACTGATTATTCTGCTAAATTCCACTAAATGCCACCAAAAAAACAATGTTCATCTTTTACAAGCTTTATTCCCACATACGGTGAACTCAATGATGGCTTTTGGGATTCCTCATCCATTTTATCAAGTGATAACATGAATGGGGAACTTGCAGGAAATCGGAAGAGATATAACTTGCGATAACTATCAAATATAACATATAAATATATCCAAGCACGTACATAAGCAAGGTTCATATAAAAAAAACTGATAAAAGTTAGGGAACAGAGACTCACCCTGCTCGAAGCTTCCACCAATAATTGGAATGTGTTTTGTACAGACTGGCAGGCCTCAAGTTCCGTTCTGCTGAATACCATCAAGTATTCTTTAAGATGGTCATAGAAATTTCCATCCAGAGCCTATACAAGCAAGCATAAACAAAGCAATTGTTTTACAATAACATCAACAACAGTTTACTTTCATATAACACCTTTCACATCAGGAGGACTATATATACTCCCAAAATGTACACAGTTATAATGTGGAAGACTAACGAGGCTCTGGTACTTGGAAGAGCCTAATTATTCTCAATCCATCTAAAAATCAAACCCGTTGTATGTAAGTATGGAGACTATATGAATCTAAAAAACCTTTTGAAGTCTGACAGTCCTTACTGTTGAGGTGGCCAGTTTGGACAGGGCACCAATCATTACAATTCAGGTGAGATAATGGATTTAACTGGCTACACGCCTGGATCACCTGGTGTAAAATCTACAAAATTCACCAGACTGGAGATTGAGAATCCAATAACAAGATACTGAGGATAAGGCAGCAAGAGAATAGAAAAGTAGATTGTGAATATAGAAGAGGAAGTGTAAAAAAGATATTTTTAGCTATGCAAGACTGTCATTCCCAAGGAGTCAGTGTAGAGTAATGCATTGTAGAATTGCGGCCAGTTATTTATGAAAGTCCCTGGATCGCATCCAGAGCCCTTATTCATGATGACATAGCATTGTAAAGATCAACAGCACAGTGCTCACTTCCTCCTCCATTTTCACAAGTGAAAATAATAATCCTTGCCTTTGATATAGAGCCTTATCACGTCTTCGAGATGTCTCAAAGCTCTTCACACAATATATTGTAAAGTGGATTGACTGTATATTTTGGGGACGAATGGGAGTAATCAATCAAATATACAGGAATGACTAAAACCAATGTTTTGAAGCAACTCAAAGTAGTAAAAGCATCAATTATATGTTATCACTGGCAAGTTTACTGCCCTTATCACTGAGTTTATAGATGAGATTTTTCGATCAGTTCAACCACTATATAAATGTAATTTTGCTGTTGTTGTTGTTCACCCATCATCAATAAATTAACTGACAATTGGTTAGTCACCTCCAAATAACTACACAGTACCTGGATCATTAAGCTAAACTACAGAATTCTGCAGCAAACCAGCAAACTAGATGAGTCGCCTACTCATATTCTAATATGCTCCAAACACAGAGGAACTGAACATATTATTACTAAATTGTAATAATTATTGCTAAACTAAACTGTACCCAAGGAGTGGAGAATATTCAAAAAAGGAAAGATAATTGGGAAGTATATACTAGTTGCTCTAACAGCTGTCGGGGAGAAGTACAGTATGTGGAACTATCTCTTAAGGGGCTATTTTGTGTTCTTGTCATTTAAAAAGATCAGAGGTTAGTAAGAGTAGTCAGCATGGCTTTAAAGTGATGCCTCACAAGTCCACTAGAATTCTTTGGAGTCATATCCAAATTTGGGAATGAAAGATCTTCAAGATACAAGACACCTTGGCTTGCAGAAGTGTCAGTCTGTATGTGAGGATTTTAAAAACGATTAAGACTCATGGAATCCATACCAAAACTGGCCTGGTCATGGAAATAATGCAATAAATGAAAAAGGCTTTGCTGGGTGCCAGATTCATGATATTCTACAAGGTTTCAAAGTGCCTCAATAATAAATGACATGGAAGAGGGGGCTTCCAACACTAAAATGACCAGATGGCACAAAGCTTTATGCCCAGACTACTAGGGTTGGGGAAATAGTGGTTAGAATTCAGCGAAGTCTAAAACAATAATAATAATCCTTGCATTTGATTTACTGCCTTATCAGGTCTTTAAGACATTTCAAAGGGCTTCATAGAATATACCATAAAGTGAACTGACTGTATATTGGTGAGCGGAACATGGCAACCAATTACGAACAGCAGTGTCCCACAAACAATCGTGGATTGAGTGACCAAATTATTATATTTTTTTGAAGGAATTATTACCCCTGGAAAAGTGATCCGCCATTCGACTAATAACCGGGTTCCTACTTACTGCTGGGTAAACAGAGGTGTGTGGATCAAGGAAACTTGCCCAACGTTTCACCCTGCCGGGAATCGAACCCAGATCCTCTCGCTTGCGAGGAGAATGCTCTAATCACTGAGCTACAGAACTCCACATGCTTTGAACAGGGCCTAAATGGCACTTCCTTTCAAATAAAGCATAGGCTGAAAAGTATTTTCTTTCTGGCAGTAAATGAAACATACAATTTTGGACTTCCCTGTAAAAATGTATAAAAACTTATATAAACATGGAATAAGTTCATTAATCACGAGCGCAGATATGAAAGAATAATGGTGAGTAAATGTAAACAATTTAAGAATTCATAAAATCAAACAAATCCAATTGTGGTCTGGCCAGGGGTCTCCAACCATTCTATTACTACTCGATGTCTCTCTCACGCATTATCAAAAAGACAATTAGGTGGTGGCCTAAGATATGGACATATGGATATTACTAAAACAGTTCACACTTGAAAGAAAAAATACAAATCAAGTGTGAAGAGGAAATGGAGGTCTAATGGGACAATGGCACAATTATTGGCTAACCACCTAAAGTATCATGTTGTAAGGTTCGGCTTATTTTCTGAAATATTGCTCAATTACACTTCGGGGTCATGCGTTCTATAGAATTCCCCTCAGGAAATCAAATGCGTAAAGTCCTTTGTGGGTAAATTGTGCACAAAACAAAGATAGACCCAAACAGTCCTTTCTTTCTTCCACGATATATTATGGCTTCATTTTATTCTGTAACACAATTAAAAGCCCTTGCAATAATACAAGGGCAATGTGCATTTTAACAGTGGATTTTGGTTAAAGAACCAGAAATGCCTGGTTATAAAAGATTTAGCAAAACAAATTCAGACACGAATGATAAATTTTCAATATAATTGTGGCAATCATAGCAGCAATAGCAGCAATGATTGTGATAACAAACCCTTTTTGTATGGATAAGTATAGGCAATATTTCAGAAGTCAAAAAATCTAGACATTCTGAAAAAAAACAGCACTACAAACATGTTAAAAATAAGTGTAAAACATGGTAGCATCTGCAATGCCAGAAATATCCCAACTCCCCAACATCTTTCTACAGTATTAAAGCATTTCACAGCCAAGGACAAGAGATGTAAAAATGCAATGCACTTTGAACTGACACAGAATCACCAGTCGTTAATTCTGCAGATGTAATAAGGCAAGTTAAAGAGATAGCCCAACAGAGTACATTGTTTTTCCAGTTGTGCAAATACGACAAAAATACACAAAGACCTGATGAAATCATGGCAACTGAAATCAACGCACTATTCATGTGACCACACCAATGCCCAAACATTTAGCTAACCCATGTCTGTCTGACTGCTTGAGAATACATCACCGTGTCTCAATGAGTTTCCTCTTCCTTGTTTTGTGGTGTAACGACTGATGTTTCCTGGTTTTGTCTTATGTTAAGCCAAACTCACTGACAGGCAGCCCAATTTAGAACTAACAAACTCTTTCAGAGAACTTAGCTGCAGTGTCAAAACCATCTACGGAATCTTTAAAGGCAGAAATGACTGATTTTTGGGAAGTCTGCTAGGAGTCAAGGAAGCCGGCATTAAAAGCAAAAACTGTATTAGTTATGTTGTTTTTTCCTGGTTTAGAATTAATTGCACAGAGGACGCCAAAAAGGCATTAAAGTCTGTTAAACTGTTAAAGTCATGAATCAAACAGCCACAGACTGATCCCTGTTACAAAGTCCTGTGGTTGCAGATCTAGATAGCGTGAGTGGCTATCTGACCATAGGGATGTTACAGGCAATTCTGGGCCTGTCTTTGTGTAACATCCGCTTTCTAGCAGGTTCATTTGAAGGTGAGTGATAATGAGTAAAAATCTAGATTTCACCATCTCTCCCTAACCCATGGTTCCTAAGGCCAATTTTGGTCTCCATGTACTTTGAGTAGAAACTCCCAAACTGAAAACGTTCAGTCTCATCGTCACCAACCTTCTAAACGTTTACAATTCTAACCAGAAGGGCAGTAGGTAATATTCTCTGCACTCTCTCACGCCATTTAGCATTGTTGTTTCCATTCTACTCTGATTCTTTCAAGAGGAACAATAGAGATCCAGTCAGTCAATACTGTAAAATCATTGTAATCAACAAGTGAGCTAATGTTGAGGATCAAACACAAGACACCAAGTACATCTAATTTCACTGGTGAAAAACTAATGATAAATTACTTTATTTTTGTATTGTTCTTGGATTTCAATAGGCAAAATTTGAGCAGCCACTAATATACCAAACAAGTTCAAGGGATTGCACCAAGTAGAATCTCCAGTATCAAATGTATATGATGTTATCACTGATCTGAAATATCAAACATGCCAACAAGTAAATAATAATTATAATCCTTGCATTCGATATAGCACCTGATCACGTGATTGAGATCTTGCTATGAAATATAGTGACTATGTATTTATAGACAAACATGGCAGCCAATTTGCACACAGCCATGAAGTAAATGGCCAAATGTATGTATTGAGGGGGATTGTTGGCCGGGACACCGGGAGAAACTCTATTTTTCAATAGTAATATGGGATCTTTACCGTCCATCTGAAAAGGCAGATGGAAACTCAATTTAATGTCTCATCCGAAGGATGGCACTTCCAACAAAGCAGCACATCTCTAGCAGACTGCATTGAAGTATCAGCCACAACTGAGTTCAGACGTGTGGTTAGAACCCACATTCTTCTGACTCAACTGGGTTAGGCTGACACCTGAAATAGTTTGATACAGTTTTAAGAAGATTGTGGCTGGGCCATAGGAGTGGAGAAGATTGCACAGGTCGGCTGTCTGGAGAGAGCACTGAGGTTGGGAAGGAGTTTAAAAATGAGAATATCCATCTTTTGAAAACAATGTTGATGCCTTAAAGAGCTTGTGGAGCTTGGCAAGTAAGGAGTGAAGGGAGTTTCGGGAGGAACTGGGCCATTTGGGGCTCTGGATGAATTGAAATTTGCAAAAGGTGGAACCTGAGAGAAGAGTATGCTTTAAGGCTGACAGTGGTCTCGATAAGGATTATAGTAGGCATTAAGAGAGCAATGTCGTAGAGGTGGAAAGTAGCATTCCTGGTGACAGATGCAAGTGTAATACAAATTTCAATGCAGACAGTTACAGCATACTGCCATTAAGGTAGGAAAACACACTACCAAAGCTAGGAAGAGACAAGAAAATATATTGTGGTTTGAATAAATACATTGAGGCTAAGTGCACAAAATAATGCTGACCTAGATCTAACATTAGTACAGTTGCTATTCAAGTCAACAGAGGGAGCTGTTGGACACTGCGGTACTGAAGGTTGCATTGTTTTCATTGATTCACTTTCACATCTGAAATGCCAATTTATCTACAGCCACAACCTTGGAGATTTCTGCTAATCCCTCAATGACGTAAAACACACATTATTGCTTTTCATCCACTAGTGAAACCTTTAGTATGCACATATCTCTCTCTCCCTCACACACACATTTTACAGTCAAGAGATCAACATTTTGCAATACACTGTTTGCAATTTTGAGTCATTTTTGGGGGAGTTTTTCCTATGTAATTAATTAAACACGTAATGGTAGGAATATTAAAGATAAAGATATAATAAACTATTAGAAAGTGAAACAATTAACAAAAATAATTACAATAACTGGGTTAAGGCGAGTACTCAATGGTTGGTATTAAACATTCAAAATCTGCCACTACCTCATCTCTCAGGCCACTGAGACCCTTATCCATGCTTTCATCACGTCAAGGCTTGAAAACCCCAAACCTACTCAATAACAACAACTTGCACTTAGATAGCCATTCCAGAATACTCTAGGACTCCCCAACAATCAATGGACTCCACAGCAATTTTCTGAACAGGTTGTGTACTATCCAGATCTCTGAAATCATGTCCTCTCCTGCACCCAGCAGATTAAATACAAGATCCTTGTTCTTAAATCCCTCCATGGTTTTGCCCACCCTTCTTTAACCTTATCGACCTGGCCCCTCCCTTCACTCGGCAAACACTGGTTTGCCTCATGCCCCCCCCCCGCTCTATCCGCCCCACCATAGACTTTCAGCCAATCTAACTCTGGTCTCTGGAACACCTGTCCGGGGTTCCTCTAACTTGTTTTCCTCCCACCTTTCTTTCAAGGCCCATCCCAAACCATACATCTGACTGCGCTTTGGTCATTCCACCCTCACCCCCCAGCTCAGGTGCCCAGCCAGCACTATCAAGCACGTTTGAGACACCGTCCCATGTGAAAGGAGCTACATAAGTATAAATGGTATTGTAAACTGGCCATTTGATGGTAGAATTTTTACAGTCAGTGTTGACAGTTTGTAATTAACTACAAGGTCATTAACATAACCATATAGCACTGAAGTACAAAATCCCAGCTAATTGAGGTTAGAGTTTTTAGACAAAGTACATAACTAACACCAACTAATTGACTGAGGACTAAAATATTATTTCTGCGTTTGTTGCATTATGACAGCAATGTCAGTCATCTTTGGTAAGACACTCATCATGTGTGTGCTGCATTCATATCGGCTTGTCACTCAGTGGTAGGTTGATTTTGTTTATATGTACGTAAACATTTGTGCAGCTTGTGCAATTTCTCTGCTTAAACAAGCAGATTTCCCCTCCTCCGCATAACGTACTTTTAGATGTATTCTCCATCCTATGTGTGATTTCCTCCAGCTTTCTGGATCAACCACATTCTCACCCTAATTATTTGGATTTACTGCTTACATTCATTCCAGAGTCAGAGCCTTTAATCACCAGGCTATAATCCTCTGCAATGTTCTTCCCAAATATCTTTCTCCTCAGTTTCAGATATCTTCCCAACACCAACTTCTTCAATCATTCTAGACCCTGGGATCTTCATTCTCTGCACAAGTGCATTCAACAATGTCTCACAAACAGCCATAAAATGTATGACTAATTTATTTGGGCGATTATTGTCCAGGACACTGGGAGAAACTCCTCTCTCTTTTCGATTAGAGCGATGGGATCTTTAACTTCCTCCTGAATAGGCAGACAGGACCTTGGTTTAATGTCTCATCCGAAGGACGGCGCTCCGATAATGCAACACTCCCCTAATACTGCATTGGAGCGTCACCGTAGGTTATGAGAGTTCAAGTCCCGACGTGCGACTTGAACCCACAACCTCCTGCTCAGAGATGAGAGTGTTAGCACTGAGCCAAGCTGACACTTGCAAAAAGGAATGTGTCAAAACCATTCCATTTCCATTTCCTAACAAACTATTAGCTCTGTGTGGAATGTGGAGGCTGTAACTGATTTACTGATGAAACCACTCTCTTTGACCGAGTGTTCAGTCACCTCCTCCACATCACCTCCCTCCAGCTGGGCCATTTTTCATCTTCAGTTCAGATTTGTTTGCAAATAATTCTTGATGCCTTAACTCCCTGTCACCCAATGACAGAGTGAGATGCAACGGAGGAACAGCCAAATATTTTTTCAAATTTTTACACTCTGTAGAGTGACCAAGTATCTGCTTACGAGAAAAGAATGAAAATTGTGAAGGCTAAACTGTACTGAAACATATTTAGGAAATATTGACTATCGTGATTCAGAGGATAGAGGAAGGGGAAAAGTAAAGAGAGGGATGGTGGTAAGAAACTAAATCACGAAATAAAGCCAAACTGGAGGTTAAGTGTTTTAAACATACAAACTCTTCACTACAATATGTATTTTAAACACCATCTGTATATCCCAAAATTCATTACCAATAATAATCCTTCCAAATGAATGAATGAATGAGAAAGAATTAATGAATTACTTAATTAATACAAGGCTAATTGCTGTCTGATCTCCTGGCATTAAAAACCTGATCCAATCGTTAATATCACAAAGTTTCACTGGTTTCTCCTCGACTTCATCTTAATTTTAAAATCCGCGCTCACTCAACATTATGCTGAGAATCAAATACTTCTGAGAAACAATGGGTAATATTTAGTTACAGAACTGAAAAATGGAATCGTAAATGCCCGTGTTGCCAGCAGTGACAGAATGCAAAACCTGCCTAAACGTAATTTTATCTTCACTCCTTACCATTAATAGAACCTCAATAATGGCACAAGACTGCCTCCCACTTAACCATTCAAGGAACTGAAAGCAATCTTGGGAATGATTTATTAAACTAGGTTTGCTCTGCCTGCATGTCTGCTTGTTGTTCCAAATCATTTATTATGTGCTCTGCTTGCAGAAACCTTGTAGTTTCTGGGAAAAATAAATGAACAAATTGTGAATCTTCAATCTGCCAGTTCAGATATTACCGTGGAAACTGACAGCCAGCACTTCCTACTCATGGATTTTAATACTGATATTTCAATGAATATGTAATGCAGCAAGATTCACATACTAATACCTTTTTGTGACAGCAGTGAATGAGGAAAAGATTTGCTACAATTCTATTCTGCACTAATTTAAAATTACTGGAATCACTTCATTATTTTAATTCCTTTGGTTAGAGCACTCACCTCGCAAGCAAGAGGACCCGGATTCTATTCCTGGGCAGGACAAATCCTTAGAAAAATTTCCTTACCCCACATGCTTTTGTTTACCTAGCAATAATAATAATAATTGCATTTGATACAGCGCCTTATCGCGTCTTCGGATGTCTCAAAGCGCTTCAGGAAGTATATTGTAAAGTGAATTAACTGTTTATTTTGTGGGCAAACCGTGACAGCCAATTGTGCACAACAGTGTCCCACAAACAGTCGTGAATTTTTTGAAGGAATTATTATCCCCGGAAAGCGATCTGCCAACGGACTAAAAAATGGGTTCCTACTTATTGCTTGGTAAACAGAGGTGTGTAGAGTAAGGAAACTTGCCTAAGGTTCGCCCTGCCCAGGAATCGAACCCAGGTCCCCTCACTTGCGAGATGAGTGCTCTAATCACTAAGCTGGTTAGAGCACTAAGATACAGGAACTCAGTTGTTAGTTGATTGGCTGGTCACTTTCTGGGGGTAATAATCCCTCCTCCCAAAAATAATAAAATATAATAATAATTTGGTCATTGAATCCACGGCTGTTTGTGGGAGAATTGCAAGTTGTTTTTGATAAGACACAAAAAGTATGTCATAACAGGGCTTTTCTGTTTAAAAATGGAAAAAAAGACACTGGGAAAAACTTCCTTCTCTTTTTGAACAATGCCAGTGGATCTATAACATCCACCTGAACATGGAGAGGGGACCTCAGTTTAACATCTTATCCGAAGGACGGCACTTTCAACAATGCAATCCCTCCCCTCCATCACTGCAATTGTAATGTCAGTTTAGACTCTGTCAGTTCAAGTTCCAACGTGGGATTTGAATCCACAACCTTCTGACTCAGAGCCAGACTGACCCAACCTAATGTTTTTCATAATGGACAAAAGGGACAAAACATTGACTTTAAACTCTCTCCCCACCCCACGCCTCAAGTTTCAATAGTCTGCATATGAAGCAAATACATTTCATTTCAAGTCCTGCTGACTTGCAGATTTAGGTAGTACAGTATAAAACATGATTTGTTCAAACAGAGCATCACATTGTTTTGAAAGGAACTGATTAAAATGTGTTGCCAGAGAACCAAATTTCCTCCAATAAGGCTTCTGCATTCTTCCCACCCCTATGTAAGCTTTAAAACCTTCTTGCATCAGCAGGGAATACTTGTGTAAAATCTGTTAGAAACATTCAAGTCACATACAAGTGGACTCGACTTATTAATCCAGTTACACAGAATGTTACAGCATAGAAAAAGGGGTCATTCTGAAATTACTCTGTGCGGTATTAATACTGCACATGTGTTTCCACCACTTCTAATGCCATCTTTTGTATCCTTTATAAAGTGTACAATGTTTGGAATGAAACTAATGGCTCAAGTTTTCCTCAGAGTTATTTCTGATATGAAAGTTGACTTACCGACATCATGTTTACGAGGTCGATCTGATAGTAACGGTCTTGGTGTGCATTCGCAGCTGCCAATGTGAGAAGGTAGTCGTTCCTCGCATGATTAGCTTTTATGTTGCACTCGCTGCGTCGTGCTTTTAACTGCAACATGAATAAAACATTTCTCAACACCTCCCCTAGTCCATCATAGAAGCTCTCACGGGCTTTCCACTTGGGAATTCATGTAATTCAAGGATATTCTAAAATTAAAAGCTTGGTTACATTTGTAAAGAGAATTCAACTGTATTTCTTACGAGTCTTGTGTAATTAGTATATCTTCCCTGCCCCACTTCAAATACAGCAATTTACATTAGATTGTGTCTTTTGTGTCAGGAGGAAGTCTCAAAGCACTTCACAGGATATACTGTAAACTGTAGTGACTGCTAATTTTGTAGAAAATAAAAAGGTCACTACAGAATATTTTAATTCTACAGACAATCTGGTGGGCATGGTGCATGATAGAGAAAAATTAGATGAAATATCTAGCTCAAGATTTCAGGCAATCCATTCACTTAAATTTTTGATGAAACTCACCTTAACACTTGCTTTCTGTAAACTTATTTTCGACTGAAAGAGACTAAGTTTGGACCTGAAAATAAAATCAAATGGCAAGTTTAGTAGAGCAATCGGAAGACATTGATCTTACAAAAGCAATCTGTTCTTCAACTTCAATGCAAATCATAAATTACTTTGTACATGTCTTTAGGGATGCATTGCATCATTGTATCAGACAGAGAGTGTTCAAAATGAAAATCTGCAGCTAGTGCGGTACTCAATGGCTCATTATCATGGTGACAGTACTTGAGAATACCATCAAGTTGTGCAGAAAAAAATCAAAAAGCAAGAGTAGCTGGGCAGGGAAACCGCAAATAACGTTATAAGGCAATGCAGAAAGGCATTTAGAAGAAGTTACGATTACAAAAAGCAGCTGTGCCAGGATAAAAACATGGGTTGGTTGACCAAGCATTGGAAAATCATAGCTTCAATAAACAATACATTCTTATATTATAATAATAATCCTTGCATTTAATATAGCGCCGTATCATGTCATTGAGACTTCTCAAAGTGTTTCAAAGGATATATTGCAAAGTAACTGAATGTGTATTTTCTGGGTGAATACGTGGCAGCCAATTGCGCAATTCAGCCAATTCAGCTTATAATCCTCAAGTAGTCACCTCAAATATTGGTTCAGTATAGAATTACATGAAGCTTTACAGCACGGAACCAGGCTATTTGGCCCAGGTAGTTTGTGCGGGTAGACTAGTTGATGCGATGATGCTCAATCTCCTGGTTTACAAATTAATAATGAGCCATTTGGGCAAAATATCAGAGATTCCTGGTTTTTGTGGATCAGACCTCAGCAAGGATCAGTGTCTGAGGAAGATAAAATGTGCAAGAAAAATGGGTTACGGCTACAAGTCAGCCCAACAAAACAAATCAGACTAATTTTCAAATTAAATATATCAATTTGTATATTTGTACCTGTGCTGTCACTGGCATATCAGCTGAAATGTGAAGTTTATTGCATACCAGTGAACAATGAAAAATGTCACATGATACAAACAAAAATTGTCCTCTCTAAAAAAAATTGCATTGAAATAGAATGTACTTGAGACTTAAAAGTAACTTCCGAAAGCACTTTGACTGTTGGAATACATACAGAATTATTTGGCGAATCACTTAGAAAATCATTTTAATAATAATAATCCTTGCATTTGATATAGCGCTTTTCATGTCTTCGAGACGTCTCAAAGCGCTTCACAGAATATACTTTAAAGTGAATTGACTGTATATTTGAGGGCGAAACGCAGCAGCCAATTGCGCACAGCAGTGTCCCACAAACAGTTGGGGATTGAAGTGACCAATTTATTATGTTTTTTTCTTGAGGGATTATTATCAGGCGTGTGGAGTAGGGAAACTTGCCCAAGTTTCGTCCTGCCAGAAATCGAACCCAGGTCTCTCGCTTGTGAGGCGAGTGCTGAACCAGACCTACAGGACTCCATATCCACATCTAAATTTTGTTTGTCATCTAATAGATGACAAATAGCTTTTCGGCTCCACAGTTAGCATATCAAGTGAATTCACTGTCACTGCTACATGAGGGAAAGGGGAATAGAAGGGATTGGGAAGGAGTAAAGTAAACTAACGTAGAGTATAAACACCGGCAAAGAATGGTTGGGCCGAGTGGCCTGTTTCCATACTATTGTTTGTAAATCTTTGTAAGGTGACAAGGAGTGGGCTTACAGATTGGATAAACATGACTTTGACATCATTTATAAAACATGTTACACGGCTTTGCAATGACATTGGTTCCTGTTATTGCAATTACAATTCTCTATTTACCTATATATATTGTAGAAAGCTCAAGACTGTGATGCCAACATTGCTCTTATCTCAAGAAATATTATGCTCACAGCAAATATATGCTCAAATTTCAGAAAAATACAAATAACATGTTTTGTAAGCCATTAGTTTCCAAAAGGCGAAATGTTATGTCACGCTTCTGTTACCAAGAACAGCTAACCATAGTAGTACTCATTCTATAATGCAGGGTGGCTTAAAGTGCAACTGAGGTGTGGACTCAACATTTACTTACTCACAAAAGACAAAATAGACATAAAGCTGCTAAATTGTTTTAAAAAGCTGGTACCCCAATGTCACTTCCACATGAAGTGACGTCTGCGGAGACCCGATGCCCCGGGCTCTTGGTATTCTGCAAGCATTCACATTGAAGCTCTGACCAGTGATCTCCCTTCCCTCCCCACCTTCAAATCCCTCCTAAAGACCTTAACTTTGATTGTGCTTACGGTCACCTCCTCCCTCTCCCCCGGCTCTTTATCAGACTCTGCCACTGTGAAGCTTCCCGGGACACTACCCCACATGAAGGGAGCTATGTAAATGCAAGTTGTTGTTGTTGATCTTGCCCTCTTGGGGATTTTATGGACCTCAACTATCACGTTATAACTAAGCTCTACCTATAACCTGTTTTGTGTCTAAATGGGTAAAAAATCCACCGAGTTTACTTGTAATGATTAAAGGTGGAAATACGCGTGGAACATGTTAATCCTGTGGACATTTTGACTTGAAACAACAAACGGATGTTACTTCCTGGCAATGTATTGGCATTAATATTAAAAAAAAACCTCCACAAACGCACTTGGCTTCTAGATCAGCTTTCTCCCGTGCTGCGTGCGCCATCTGTTCCAGCTCAAAATACTTCTTTTTAGACTTGGCCAGATCCTTCACAGTCTCCTGGAATTCAGCCTGGATCCTAGTCAGCTGATCAATATACTACAGGGGTGGGAAGAGAATACTGAATGTTAGTTATGAAACAATAGGAGAATGCAGCTACTTTCTTAATACTAATAACGGCTGGTAATTCTGAATGCCGGAAAAAGCATCTACAACCTTAAATGCTCGGGCAACAGAGGTGTAAAAGAGTTTGTAATTATTGTACAGCAAAACAATCCATGTTTTTAAACCTGGTTATATAACAGTTCAGACATCCCATGCTAGTACAATCACAGCTCAAGTGCTTGGAATGATTGCCAATTCTCAACTGCAAGTTGCCAGAGAAAGTGAAAAAAAATCGTTCCAACCGCCCCCCACGTACCAACAAAGCTTTAAGCTCTGGAGTATCAGATGCTTTATTAAAATTGTAATGCAATCAAAATTTCTCATTCCTTTCATTCCCGATCAACTTAGATTAACTCCCAGTCACGCTCCCAAATTGAGGGCTCAGTCACGCTCGTCTCGTTATCTTGTTAACTCGTAAGAAGAGAGAAGCCTTAGAAATGACTGCGATTAACTTTCATGTGATTCAGAGTTGCTTGAATCAATCCAATTTTTACAGTGGGGAGAAGGCAAGATGGGTATTTCCGGAGGATGAGAATTCAACAGAATTTATCCAAACCAATGTTTGTGAGCTTCTTGTAAATACCATTTTAAGTAATGCTTTACATTTACTATAAGCAGTCAATTATTGTGAAAGACAAGTCACCAGATCACGTCAATGCCAGGTGACATATATCTGAAATGACATAAAACAGTATACTGCAACAGTACTATTAAAATTCTCTTGCAACTAATGTTAAAAATCTGTTTATATTTAAAGACCATTGTTGAAATCAAGAGCTTACTCTAATATACAAACCAACAATAAATAACAAACCATATATCTAGTGACAAAATCGCTAATATTAAACCAATAAGTAGCTGTTTAGAACAGTAGCAAACTTTCCCTTTAAAGTTGTTGTCTACTTCCATTTCACTTTATGGGTGAAGTAAGAAAATTAATTAGCACTTCAAACTGGTTACTGGTGGAATATTCAGCAATTTCAACGACTTTTCATAGCCTAGAATTTTTGTAATAATAATAATCCTTTCATTTGATACAGTGCCTTATCATGTCTTCAAGTCTTCTCAAAGCACCTCACAGAATACACTGTAAAGTGAAATGACTTGTATATTTTGTGGGCGAAACGCGGCAGCCAATTGTGCATGGCAGTGTCCCACAAATAGGCCTGGATTGAGTGAACAAATTATTATTTGTTTTTGAAGGGATTATCACCCCCAGAAAACTAATCTGCCAATCGACTAATAACCACGGAAATTTGCCTAAGGTTTCTTAAACCCTATAACATAACATAACATGTAGGAGCAGGAGTAGGCCATTCGGCCCTTCAAGCCTGCCCCGCCATTCAATCATGGCTGATCTTCTAATCTAACTCCAGCTAATAACCTGACCCTGCCTTATCCCCATATCCCTTAACCCCTTTTGCAATAAGAAATATATCAGTCTTGAATATGTTAAGGACTGAGCGTCAACAGCCCTTTGGGGTAGTGAGTTCCATACATTCACCGCCCTTTGAGTGAAGAAGTTCTTCCTCAACTCAGTGCGAAAGGGCTGCCTCTGATTTTAAGGTTGTGACCCCAATTTTGTTCACGATTTTGAATTTTATTAAACTGAGTTTAACATTTGACCTCGTCAGCTGTCAAGTTTAGAAGTTTGTCGTTAGCTTATAAGAATTCACTTAAAACTGGCCTCTGTCATAAACAGTAGATATGTTGGCAATGAGGTTTCTGAGGGAATACAATGGAATATTCAACCATCACGATACAGTTTAATGGAGGATATTTGAAGTAAATAGAGGGATAAATGTTCTTTTCTAAAAAAACCACTTATAAGTTCCTTCATTTCCATTGTGGCAATGAGCCACTGTACTCCAGCTGGAAATAATTTGTTAATTGGATTTCTCTGTATAAAAAGATATTGTTTATCGGATTTTCCAGGTGCTTCTCCCTATACGGGAGATGTGATTTTCCATTTCATTCTGTAGAAATTGAATGAAGGGAATCTTCTAGGAGGGAACACAAACATGTTGGTGCCAAGAGGTTTGTCTCAGCAGCGACCAAGTCACATTTCTGCACCTCAGGCTCGGAAACAGAAGGCCCTCGTGGGAATCCAGGCCTCTCATGGGACGTTTTGCTTAAAAAAATATTTGGAAGAATATTTTCAACATCTACAGATGGTTCAAAAGAACAGGTGGATTCATTGGATATCAAAAAAAATCGACTGATCAAGTTTTTATTCAAGAAAAAGCATTCTAGATATTAACCTCGACTTAAGAGCACTCCATGTTTGTTAAATTGTACCACTCTTCTCAAACTCTTCCGGGTTCCTACTTATTTCTAAGTAAATAGAGGTCTGTGGAGTAAAGAAACTTGCCTAAGGTTTCACCCCACCCAGGAATCAAACCCTGGTCCTCTCGCTTGGGAGGCGAGTGCTGTAACTGTACACTACAGGACTCCACAATACATATACATAGAACTGAGTTCAGAACAACCTTGGTGGAGTGCTTGAAAACAGGTCACTCATTTGGTTTTTCAACCACAATGCAGTAATAAAATGATCAAATCCAATAGCCTCACAGCAAAAAATTTAGAAAATAGGAGAAACCATTAATTAATTAAAAAAATTAATTAATGTTTATTCAGGAATTTCTCATAAATCTAGTGGAAGATTTGATATTTGTGGGTTTTAGCAGAGCCAAAAAAAATTCAAGCAAACGCGGATACCTAAATCCATGCAATTAATGGATTTCTTATTTTATAGTTTTCTTACAAAAATACATAAGAACAGATGTGGACTATAACAGTACATTCATCAGCTACTCACAGCTGCCCCACATTTGACTGAAACAATAAAAGTGACCTAGAGAATTTTGATCATCTGCTTTGTATAATACTCCCTATTTTCTACTTGTGATAATGACTACACACTCCATTGTTGGGTTCAGCAAACCTCACACAACGACAAAGTGAACATCACAACATCATCAGCCCGATTTGGGATTAAATCTATTCTATATTTACAATTGTTCACAATATCCCCATGCATCCATGCAGCACTCATGTTCATTCCATTTTCTGAACAGTCTCTCATTGAATAAAAATGGCACAACAGCAACAACTTGCATTTACATCGTGCTTTTCATGCAGGGCAGCATCTCGGGAGTGCTTGCCATAAGAGCCTGTCTCAAAATTAAAAAAAACGTAAATGAAGTTGTGCTATGTGCTGGTAACAATTACATTGCCAGCAGTGCAAAGTAAAGTCATGCAAGACTGTTTCTTAAAAGAGCTGTCAAGTTGATGTAGGCCAACACATTTCGATTGGACTTCTGATACTAATTAATTCAAGATTTTGGCAGTGTTCTGCTGCTATGACAGAACCATGATTAGCACAAATGTACTCAGAATTAGCTTTATTCATATTTGCCATCAGACAGCAAATATACCATAGACATCGCACAGCAGAAAATATACATTACTTGCAAATTTTAAATATTTTTAGATGCACCATGATATTGAAATAGTTGCAATTAAGTATGTTGGCCTGGCTGTTGGGAACACTCTTGCCTCATGACTATGAACAGATAGTCCAGGCTGATGCTCCAATGTATGTGCTACACTGCTAGAGTTATGTCCTTTGGACGAGCTTTAAACTGAGGTATCGTCTAGTTGCTCAGGTAGATGTTAAAAGATCCCACGTCATTATTGAAAAAGGACAGGGAATTTCTCCTGGTGTCCTGGCCAACAATCTCTCAAAATAAAAATTGGTTATTAACTTCATGGCTGTTTCATTACTTACTAAACAGTCAATACACCTTACAAAGTGTTGCAAAGCGCTTTGAGACAGCCTCCCACGTGAATGTTGCATTTCAAATATAAGGATAGTTTTTGTTTGTTATATTGACTACAAATTCAAAAGACATAATATTCAGGTTTATATGTAAACTGATGCCATTTGTTATGTAAATGTTGTACTGCTAAAATCCGGGGTTATGAAATTGGTGGTACTGTAATTCTCTTGCAATGGTCATTCCTGAAATCACTATCCCAAAAGGCACAAAACATAGGAGTTATATGATTGGGAGACCTGGATTTTTTTTTTACTGAACTATCGTTTTGCACAGATATTCAAATGAATACTGCATTTGCAATTAGACAACATAATTAGACAACCCAATTGGCTGCCGCGTTCGCCCACAAATATACAGTCAATTCACTTTACAGTGTGTCCTGTGAAGCGCTTTGGGACGTCCTCCCGACGTGAAAAGCGCTATATCAAATGCAAGGATTATTATTATTATTAACGCTCCAAGTGAATGAATCCAAAGCATTATAACAATAAATTACATTTATATAGCACCTTTCACATGCCCCACACATAGTCATGGAATGAGTGACCAAATTTTTTTAAAATTTATTTTTAAATGCTGATGGAAAGAGGGAGATGTGGCGGGAGGAATAGGTTGAGGCCAGATGAGGACATGGGGGTGACAGTAGCAAGGGCACAGACAGCAGAATGGATCCTCTTGATTTTGGATCCGAGGAAGTCCATCATCTCCTTGCACTTTGGAGTTTGAGGAGACGTTTGGGCAAGGCTTGGGAAAGTGGGTAAAGGATTGGTTTGTGGTGAGAGTAAGTCAACTGCAGTGCAGCCCCACAAACAAGCTTCATGTTAGCGATAATTTGCCTAGAAAGTGGCTGTCGTTCACTGTGCATATGCACGGTTGGCCACACATTTCCCTTGTGCCAGATAGTTTTGTGCTTATTTCCATTTCATTGGATCACCACCAACTTATAAATAATCCTGATATTTGATATAGCCATTCCACATTGGGACAACTTCTCAAAGCGCTTCACTGGATATACTGTAAACTGATGTGACTGTGTATTTTGTTAGTGAAAGTGGCAGCGTTCATTGCTGATTTATGTATTTGATAATTGTACATAATACAATTTTATCACATGGTCGAGATGCCTCAAAGCGTTCCACAGAAAATACTGTAAAATGGAAGGACTGTGTATTTTGTGAGTGAAACCCGGCAGCCAGTTGAGTACAGCAATGTCCCACAAACAGCCAGGGAGTGACGATTTTATTTAGGGGATTGTTGGCCAGGATACAGAGAGAAACTCCCTTCTCTTTTTGAATTGTGCCATAGGATCTTTAACATCCACCTGAATAGGTAGACAAAACCTTGGTCTCATTTGAAGGAGGCAGTTTAACTATTAGTGCTTAAACAGGTCATCAGGTCACCACCACCATCACTTCTTGTTTTTCCGACGTACATAAAAGGAAGTCATATTGTGGTTACTGCTGCAATAGAAGTCGGTCATTTTTGTTTCCTGTGTGCCTTCACACATACTCAGTAAACTATGGTTATTATATCAGTATGGCAGATGATGCACATCAGGAAGCACAACAAAGAATGCTAGAAAATACAGGACAACAGATTAAGGGAACGCTTCAACATTTGAAAAATTAAAGTTCAATGTAGACAAAAATGTAGCAGTGCGTTTATGGAAAAACAAATTGGTAAGAAAACGGCCATGAACTTGTAGTATGTGGTAACACATAAAAAATACACCCATGTGATGTTTTATTGTGTATACACTGGCATTCCCATAGCATAGGAAATGCTGCAATTTGTTCATTAAAAGATATGGTATCGTAATAATTTATTGTAATATCGTCCAATAATGTACCTTTACATTCACAATATACTCCTCTTCGATTGCGCTTTCAGATACCTTCCTTCCCCTACCCTCTCTGCCCTCCATCGTCCTGATCCCAACCCCCAACTCAGGTCCAAATTCCTGACTATCCAGCACCTTGGGACGCTCTCCTGACGTGAAAGGCGCTGTGTAAATGTAATATGTAGTTGTTATAGAGCTTTACTGGAAATGTTATATATAAAAGTCAAGTGAAATCTTAAATGAGAGATATATATAACATGCAAGTGATCCTTGAATAGTGTTGGCAATTTAAACTGGCCTTGAATTGAACAGCCATTGTCATCCCCAATACCTTTTTCAGCTGTTGTTCCTTAATGGATTTTACAATCTTGGCAGGCTCCGAGATCTGGTTTCTATAGTTTTCAGAGGCTATTATTCGTGATTGAGCCACCTGTAATGCTCCTTCTAGGTAGGACTTCCACACTGAATACATATTCCTGTAAAAAGTACAAACATAATATTGATGTTGCTGTTGAGGTTTCCTCACCAACACAAATATTTGTCACTACTTACATTCAATAAGTAGTCAATAAGCAAAATTAATTGAGTTTGGAGAGGGAGCATAGTTAGATTATATTTGAATATTGTATTTTCATTTCTAGGTCTTGGGTTTAATTTGCGATCAAAAATGCAATATAAGTCCACGTAGTTTAACAGTCCTACCCATAGCAGATACAGTAAAACTCTGATCTGTTTAAGTCGTATAATGGCTAAGTCCCTTTGAATTTCCTATAACTTATGCAAGCTTCACATAACTTACTTTGCATAAATCATATTAAATGTATGGTCCCAACTGATATGACTTATGTGAGGTTTACTGTACCCAACTTTGGGTTTAATACTGACTCACTGATGTTACTAAGTTGCACCATAAGGAGATCAAAATGATTTCCCCAATAATTTAATTTATACAGTGATATTTATGTAAATGTTCTTCTGAGATGGAGGCTAGGTATTGGATTCAAAGTAGTATATCTAAACTTGGGAGAATGGATGTGCTCAAAATATTACACGGTTTACACAGGAGGCAGTCGTATTAAATAATAATTCTTGCATTTGATATAGCATCTTGCACGTCAGGATGATGTCTTAATGCGACTTTCCTGTAAAGTGCAGTAACTGTGCATCTTGCAAGCAAATGTGACTACCAATTTAATTTGCACACAGTAATGTCCCACATATAGCAATGAAGTAAATGACTATTTTTTATCTGGCGGATTGTTGGCTAGGACATGGGGAAGAAATTCTCTTCTCTTACCAGTGATGCACATTCTAAAGTCAAGCAAACAAAACGTAAATCCACTTATTTCTGACCCAAACTGTTCACACTTTGCAAAAACAAAGAATGCTTTTTATAGCCCCTTTGTCATGTTGGAATAACTCAAAGCACGTTTCATGAATTATTTACTGTCAGGTGTTGTAATCAAGCCATCATAAACAGCATATTAACGTTATGATGGTCCAATACACATCGACACAAATCAAATTAAACTCAATCGGTGAATGTTACCCACCTTGTATTTTGATTTATAGCTATACAAATCTTAATGGTTTCAGACTGCACATACAATAAAAAATAAGTAAGCTTCTATTATGCTTGGCTTAATACTGCGTATAGTAAGTCGCATTAAGACATCATCCTGACGTGCAAGATGCTATATCAAATGCAAGAATTATTATTTAATACTACTGCCTCCTGTGTAAACCACTAGGTACAACCCAAGTGTTGCCTTGATTGACAGCTAACTGAACATAGATTGGAACCAAAATAGGTCTGTATGGTTTATGTTCACAGTTTGCGAATCCTTATTAATTTTAGATATTTCTCGATCTAACTTTGTAAAACTCCTGATCTTGTTCTTTTCCTGAACATTATAACATTAGAAAGCATTCTCTTTCTTCTGAATGGTTTCTATAAATGTCGATCAGCAAACTGCCTATTTTATGGTCCTCTCCACAACCCATTTCAGGGATAAAATTACTGTTTATATGAATAACTTTTAAAATTTTTCCAATTCCTTTTCACATCCTTTCCTTTTGAATATTTCTTCCCATTTTAGTCTTTAGACATTTTTATCATACACTCAAGTCAGCATTTATGGTGTTGTGAAATTAACTTCCAAATTATGTTTATTATGAAATTAACTAGTCCTTTTCATTGTTTTATTTCACAAATAAGGGAACTGAAACTCTGACCACCTGGTGTGTAATACACCTATATTTACACATGGTGCATAATAGAACACATTGTTTGCAAAATGTAAGTTAAGAGAATTGCGTTAATTCAACATGGTGCTAATATTATTGCAAAATATTTTTAAATGCACAATATTTGTTACACTATCATTTGAGGGTTTGAAACAACAAAATCATGAAAGTCACCCAAAACAAAAATGCTCATTTGGCTTTTACTACCAAAACAGTTCAACACATTTTCTAAAAAGTACGTACCCACTATGTTCAGTCCTTTCATCAAGCTTTAATCCAACCCATTCTCTCTTCAGGTATTGGCAGGCCAGTTTCTGTAGAGCCTAAAATAAAGAAACAAAATCAAAATAAGTTATAGAAATTAACCATGAAAAAACTGCAGAAAATTTTTATACAGACAATTCAATTTAAACTACAAAACACTACTCAAACTAGTCAGGTAGTTTCTCAATGGTAAAAATGTTTAAAATCTTGAATGTCAAAACTTTAAATAAAGTGAAAATGCCATGGAATTGGATACTTTTGAGATCTTTTGAAGTAGCTAAATCAGACTACTCGGTGTTGCAAAGTATTTTCAACTTCTCTTGCAAAGTGTTAATCGCTAAAAGGATATTTGACAACTTTTAAAATAACTTATTGATATGGACGATTGGCAGTTGTATTATTCAGTACCCAAGGATTCAAATGAAAATAAATAATTGACCAACACAGCATGATGAAAATATTATAAGTCCTCTGTTCATGAATGTAAAGAAGACGGTTGCTCACATATCAATCATTCTACCTGGCAAAATACACACAAATAAATAAAGTTTTCTTAATTCCAGGCAGAGGGCGAAACCTTGGGCAAGTTTCCTTACTCCACACAGAGCCTAATAATAATCCCTCCAAAACAAAACAATAATAAATTGGTCATTTTCAATCTACGACTGTTTGTGAGACATTGCTGTGCGCAATTGGCTGCCGCGTTCGCCCACAAATATACAGTCAATTCACTTTACAGTGTGTTCTGTGAAACGCTTTGGGACGTCCTCAAGACGTGAAAAGCGCTATATCAAATGCAAGGATTATTATTATTATTATTAAATGTTTTTGAACCACTGAACTGTTATTTAAATGTTATTATATGTTAGCCTTTCCCCCACAGTATTTATTATTTTATTGCCTTTGACCAAAGTGCAACATAACTAGCATATGTGCGGGAAGATTGGTTAAACTTTCAAATAGAGCACGGTAATCTCTGAAAGAATTTACAATTTAAATTTCTGATTGATTACAAACTGTCATGCACCACAGTTTCTGGGTGCACAAATGTGCTCACCTACGCAAGGAAATCCAGAATGTTTGGATGAGACACGGTTTCAGTCAGTTGGAGAATTGACCTTCAGCCTCTCTGCCCTCCTCCCTCTGGAACTTCATCAGACATTCCCTTCGCCTCGCTCCCTCCCTTGCCTCCTTCAATGCATGCCTCAAGAACCTCCTCTCCGACCGTGCCTTTGGCCACCCTCCTAACCTCTCTGCCCTCCCTGATCCCAACCCGCTCGGGTCCTAAGTCTCTAAACCCTCACTGTTCAGTGCCTTGGGACATCCAACCGACGTGAAAGGCGCTTTCTAAATGTAATTTTGTATCTTATTATAACATTATCGGAACTAGTCAAATGCCGACACAAACAAATAAAGCTGTAGAACAAGAGAAATCATTAGCATTTAATTAGCCAAACTAAATTCTCACCAACAGCACTTGGAGAATTAATAATCTTCAATCTGCAGTACTGAGAACTACAACAGCAGTTCTACTTTATGCTGCAAATAACTTGTGAAAATTTCTGATCAGATTGCAATTTTCTTCATATTAAATGATGGAAAACTAACATTTTGACAGCTGCAATTATGCTGAGCACTTCAAGGTCAAGCACTTTGCAAATAACACGGCCATGAGGTCTTAATAATATATCGTCCCTGCCACCCCATGTCAACATGCGCTGCCAATTACACGTAAGTTACTCTGAACACATTAACCCCAGTTGACTACTTGCAATGAAGTTCATTGATCTGAGCTCTTGTTACATTCACTAAGTATCAGATCATCACTGGTTTACTGCTCTGGTGTTGCAATAAATCCTCCGCGGATTTTGCAAGGATTGTGAGAATTCAGAGCTTTTTCTCCAATATTCAATGCCCGTTACTTTTGAAATAGGAACCATGGCTGACCTGTACCTCAAGTTCAATTACCTGCCCTTGCCCCGTATCTCTTGATACCCTGACCTAACAAATAGCTATCCACCTCAGTGGACGGGAATGGATCCAGCATCTACAGCCTTTTGGGGGAGATAATTCCCGAATTCCACTAGCCTTTGGGTGAAAAACTGCCTCCTAATTTCACTCCTAAATGGCCTAGCTTTAATTTTAAGATTATGCCTTGTTCTGGATTCCCCTACCAGAGGGAATAGTTTATTTAGAAACCAAACCAAACATTAGAGACCAAACCGCTAAACAAAAAGCAAACTTCTAACAGTCTGTTTGTCTATCTCAAGCAGCAATAGAAACAATTAACCAATATCCACGTGCAGCAATTTAAAAGAAGCATTGTTCACTATTATTCTCATAAAATAACCCAATTATGACCTCCGTACATTATCAAATTTAGCAGAAATCACATTCTTCCTGTCATATGATAAAGTGTCACTGGTAGCCCTCTAGGAAATGCCAAAGGTAATAGAAGCTACAAACTCTTGGCACTGAAAATCATAGAAACAAAAAATAGAACAATTCTTGTCAAGTTATTTAATGTATAAAATTATTAGCTTCAGTACTATTTCCATTCCTTATGATTCTAAGTTCATTAACAGTAGACATAAGACTGGAAAGGCATTCCCATTTATATTCAGATGAGGCTGGCTTACCGTATTCATCAATCTTGTTAAGTTTACAAGGGATACTGCTGGAAGGTGGAATGTATATCATCTGAATAACATTGCTGTTCAGTTCTAGACCACAATGTGGCATATAGGGAATTCCCGCACATACTCAAGCCCTCTTCTATTCCACTCTCCCTACGCACTAATCTCACCTCTTTCACTACCATTGTCAGTTTTTTCCACTCTCACCTTCATCCTCCTTACAGCCAACCACACACCAATCCTTTTACCAAAATGTTGCCCTGCTCACCCTCACAGGGCGAAACCTTGGGCAAGTTTCCTTACACCACACGGAGCCTAATAATAATCCCTCCAAAAAACCAAAAACAATAATTAAATTGGTCATTTTCAATCTACGACTGTTTGTGGGACATTGCTGTGTGCAATTGGCTGCCGCGTTCGCCCACAAATATGCAGTCAATTCACTTTACAGTGTGTTCTGTGAAGCGCTTTGGGACGTCCTCCTGACGTGAAAAGCGCTATATCAAATGCAAGGATTATTATTATTATTATTATTTTCTTATGCCCCTTTGCAATCTCATTGTTCTTTTCTCAAGTTTTTTCCTCCCTTTCCTTCTTTCGTGGGGCTGTGGCATTGTCCTGCCACATTACTTAAAGCTGGATGCCATTTCTTCCAATCTCACCCTCTCCCTGATCTGATCAGGAGACATCAAGCAAGGAAACTCTGATGCTATATAAATGCAAGTTTTTGTTAGTCTGTCTTGGCTTGTTCAAAAGCATAACGCCTTTCACTTCACTTGAAACCTCTGGCTGTTTAATTGCCAATTTGTCAATCAGCAGGCCAAAAATTCAACATTTTTTAAAAAAATAACATGTTGAGAAATCAAAACTTTAACAAAATGTAAACAAAATCAATCTTACAAAAACAATTCAGAAATGTAATTTGGAAAATGATAGGCACATTCACTTGAATACATAACAATTCTCAATGCAGCTAACTTCACCAGCAGCAAGATACGGCATTCAAACTTGCTTCCCTTGCTATGAGATGCTACAAATCAACTTCCTCCCCTAATGACCACCTTTTGAAAATAGTGCAGTAAAAATCAATGAAAGCAAAATTGTGATTGATGAGAAGCAGACTTGAAAGACAAACGGGCACTGTTGCTCAACCCCCCACCCCCCCGAAACAACATCTCGCCCTCTAAACACACTTGTCTAACTCAAGCACATCCAGGTTTATCCATGTGATTTAACAGATGGTCTATTATCCAACGGCCAAGCAAGGAGAAACATTACTAAGTAAACCAATTTCTGTCAAATCATAGTAAGTGATGAGATACACTAAGATTTCCCTTATAAAAATCAAAGTTAACTCACTCGGGTTTGAGATCTACTAAAACAGAACAAAACACCCTGCAACACAATCCCTTTGCTAAAACTGAATGCCATCACGATTGACAGCTGTGTAATGTTTCCGTGGGGAATTTTAAACATATTAGGTGAAATCTCAAGGCCTATAATACTATACACCACGTGGGTTTGAAGAATACATTAGAATATACAGCACAGAAACAGGCTATTTGGCCCAACTGGTCTATGCCGGTGTTTATGCTCCACAGGAGCCTCCTCCTGCCCTACTTCAACTAAGACTTCTAGCATAACTTTCTATTCCTTTCTCCCTCAATCACCTATCTAGCTTTTCCTTAAATACATCTATGCTATTTGACTCAACAACTCCTTGTGGTAGCATGTTCCACATTCCCACTACTCTCTGTGTGAAGAAATTTCTTCTGACTTCTCTATTTGATCTTATTTGTGACTATTTTATATTGATGGTTCCTGGTTTTGGTCTCCCCCTGCAAGTGGAAACATCTTCCCTATGCCTACCCTATCAAAACCTTTCATAATTTTAAAGACCTCTATCAGGTCACCCCTTAATCTCCTCTTTTCAAGAGAAAAAGAGTCCAAGTATGTTCAGCCTTTCCTAATAGGTATCACCTCTGGGATCATCCTTGTGAATCTCCTTTGCACCTTCTCCAGTGGCTCTACATTCCTTCTATAATATGGCGACCAGAACAGCACACAGTATTCTAAGTGTGGTCTAACCAAGGTTCTATAGAGGTTTGCCATAACTTCCCTGTTTTTCATTTCTATCCCTCTAGAAATGAAGAGTAGCAGTGAAACAAGATAATTAAATATGGATTTGGTGATGCCAAATTTGTGGGAGTGCAACATTAAGTGCAGTACAGTGCAAGTAAGGATTTCAGTATTATAATAATCCTTGCATTTGATAAAGCGCCTTATCAGGAATTCGAGTTGTCTCAAAGCGCTTCACAGAATACACTGTAAAGGGAATTGACTGGATATTTTGTGGGTGAAACGTGGCAGCCAATTGCACCCAGGAGGTCCCATAAACAGTTGTGGATTGAGTGACTAAATTA